AATCTGAACCCGTTGCCCATTGTCTGAATGTTGATCACGTGACCCCGGGGAGGCTGCAACGGTCGTAAGTGTGAAAAACTAGTCCTAAGTCACTTTTTTCCAGGGATGTTGTAACTTTGAACGGTCACTAAATGCACGGTTGTAAATCAAGGACAACCTACATTATTATTTATCCTTCTTACAATCTTCTCCCCTCTTATTGGTATTACAAAGATTATCTTTGCTCTGTTGCTTGGCACGCACACCGAGAGCTTCCGAACCTGAGAGAAATTCCTTGTGTGTCTGATCAGATGTGGCCAATCAATTTATTATTACAGCCCAAGGCCAACACATAAATTAAACATTCAAATAAAACAAAACTAAAGAGAACCAAACACAAGCAGACATAGCAATATATTACAATTAATGATGTAATTAATGGGGGACCAAGGTCTGCCTAGTAACTCAGGGGTAGGCAACCTTGGCGTTTTTTATGACTCGTGGACTTCAACTCCCAGAATTCCTGGCTGGCTGGGGCAGGGGTAGGCAACCTTGGCTCTTTTATGACTGGTGGACTTCAACTCCCAGAATTCCTGAGCCAGCATGGCTCAGCTTGAAACCTCTCTCTTTCCCCTCAGTGTGGCTGGCTCAGGAATTCTGGGAGTTGAAGTCCACCAGTCATAAAAGAGCCAGGGTTGCCTACCCCTGTCCTAAGTCCTCCTGTTCTAAGTGGTGAGCCTCCTAGACCAGGGTAGGCAACCTTGGCTCTTTTATGACTCATGGACTTCAACTCCCAGAATTCCTGAGCCAGCCATGCTGAGGGGAAAGGGAGAGGTTTCCATGCTGAGCCATGCTGGCTCAGGAATTCTGGGAGTTGAAGTCCACCAGTCATAAAAGAGCCAAGGTTGCCTACCCCTGGCCTCGTTTTACAGACAGTATAACAAAAACTAGCTACCTTCAGAAAAACTGAATGATACTGATCAGACAATAAAAATACACTGAGTATAGTCTAACGCTATAATGTTAAAAACACCTAATAAAATTAATTATTAAAAAAACCTAAAATGCTTATTTGTATTTATTTACATTTATGAATCTTTAATTTATGTGTTGGCCTTTGGCTGTAATAATAAACTGAGGATCGATTGATCGGACTTGGCCAAATTAGAAAGGATTTGGATTCTAATTCTCAGACGGTCCGATTTCCCTTCTCACTGCAGGGATCCGGAGGCCTCGTGCTGGCTCTTACGCTGGCAGGCCGAAGCCTGGCTGGTGGAGAAGGAAGCGACTTTGCGGGCTGCCCTCCTGGCCCTGGAGCTGTTGGCAGGAGAACGGTCAGCTACTCCCCACCCTTAAAAGCACAAAATGGGAAATCTAAAATCCAGACCCTGAGATAAAGCTGTCTCTAGATTCCAGGGTGGGCTGGCGGGAGCAGAACTGTGCCCGTCTTCATGGAACCCCGAAACCTTGTATAATCTTGACCTGATTTTGTGGCGCTGCTAAGTCCTCCGACTTACGACCACGGTCGGGAGCAGAGTTCCCATTGCGAAGCAAGGCAATGGTTAAATGAGCCGTGCCTGAGTTTATGAGCTTTTTTTTTGTCATGGTTGTTAAGCAGATCTCAGTTGTTAAGTGAATCAGCGCATCATTACGTGAATCCAGCTTCCCTTGTTGACTTTGCTTGTGGGAAGCTGGCTGGGAAGGTGGCAGTTTATTTATTTATTTGAATAAATAAATAAAATGGGCTTGAAATAAGTCAAAATTTATTTTGAAAAAAAGAAAAAGGGAAGGAAGGAAGGAAGGAAGGAAAAGAAGAAAGAAAGAGAGAGAGAGAGAGAGAAAGAAAGAAAGAAAGAAAGAAAGAAAGAAAGAAAGAAAGAGAAAGAGAAAGGAAGGAAGGAAAAGAAAGAAAGAAAGAAATAAGAAAGGAAGGAAGGGGAAAAAAGAAAAAGAAAGAAAGCAAAAGAAAAGAAGGAAGGAAAGAAACAAAGAAACAAAGAGGAAGGGAAAGAAAGAAAGGAAGGAAGGAAGGGAAAGAAAGAAAGAAAAAGAAAGAAAGAAAGAAAAAAGGAAGGAAGGAAGGGGGAAAGAAAGAAAGAAAGAAAGAAAGAAAGAAAGAAAGAAAGAAAGAAAGAAAGAAAGAAAGAAAGAAAGAAAGAAAAGTTTTATGCTTCATATATCTTAACCTGCCCCTCTCCCAAGAAGTGATTATCATATGACCCTTTTGGATGCTGCAACGGTCGTAAGTGTGAGGACCACTTGCAAGTCCCTTTTTTTCAGTGCCGTTGTAATTTCGGTCCCTAAGTGAGGGGCTGTCATGTGAGGGCTCCCTGCGCCAGGCACAAAACTGCCTAGAAGGTGGGATGGTGAGGCTGCGCCCCAGAGGAAATCCCTCCGCAGGGCACTGCCGGGGCTGAGTTGTGGTGTCCCCTGCATTGCAGGTTGTGGGACGCTCAGCCGAGCCTGCCCAAGGCTTCCCATCGGGAGCTGGCCGAGCTGCGCCTGGCGGCAGAGTGCAAAGCAGGATCAGCTGGGCAGCCTCAGATCCAGACGATGCCCGGAAGATCTAGGAAGGTATTTTTCTTTGATGTTTTTTTTTTTGCTTGTTTAAAAATTATTAAATTAAATTAAATTAAATTAAATTAAATTAAATTAAATTTTAAATTAAATTAAATATTAAATTAAATTATTAAAATTAAATTAAATTAAATCTGATGTCAGATTGTAAAAATTGTGATGTTTCACTTACTGACCACTTTGCTTAAACCGAGTTGCTGGTTTCCATTGTGGTCGCTAAACGAGGACTGCCTGCTGTTGATGATTCCTGCTCTTGAAACATTGTCTTCATCAGCAGGAGATGCAGTAGGCAGAGACTGTTTTGGAAGAGGCCATAGAAATAATAATAATAATAATAATAATAATAATAATAATAATAATAATAGTAATAATGTTGGAAGGGACCATGGAGGTCATCTAGTCCAACCCCCTGCTCAGGCAGGAAACCCTATATACCATTTCAGACAAATGGCTGTCCAATCTCTTCTTTAAATTAAATTAAATTAAAACTTCCAGTGTTGGAGCACCCACAACTTCTGGTGGCAAGCAGTTCCACTGGTTAAGTGTTGGCTGAGAGGGCTAAGATGTTCTCAGTGGCGCCTAGAGATGGTGGCAGTATAGAATACAGAGTTGGAAGGGACCTAGAGGTCTTCTAGTCCAACCCTCTGCTCAAGCAGGACATTCTACACTGTTTCAGACAAATGGTTGTCCCATTTCTTCTTAAAAACTTTAATTGTTGGAGCATTTACAACTTCTGGAGGCAAGTTGTTCCGCTGATGAACTGTGAAGCCCACCTCCTCTGTCTCACCTGTCTCTTCTCCCAAAGCAGGTGATGCTGGACCAGCTCCTGCTCCATCAGGAGAGGGACCGAAGTTCTCTCATCAACTCCTTGATGGTCCTGGTGGAACCAAAGGCTGCCCACGGACAAGGCCACCCCGGCACGGAGCCATCCCACCTGGGAGAAGGTAGACCCTCGTAACTGGAGAGGGAAGTACTCATCTTCATAATCAGCAAACCTTTCCCGGTTCTTCTACTCTTGCAACAACTCAAGAAAGAGTTATTGTCTTAATAAAAAGACACATGCTGGTTACCTTGCCAAAGAAACTTTGATAAAGCTCAAGGATAACACACATTCTTTCTGTTTCTATCTGGCTGACACACTCCTACTCCTCCAAGAATTTGTTTTTCTCACAAACTGATAATTGAACACAGTGTGGACTGCTTTGAACACAGGGCCAAGTACAACATGACAATGTTCACCAGGGGCCAGGGCAAGGTTCTGTCTCCAGGAAGGAAAAAAAACAAATCAAATATAGGATTGAGAAGGTAGGGTGTGGTGGCTGTGCCTCCCAAGTCCTAGCAGACCACTGGTGAATATGAAGAATAATAGAATAACCACGTCAGAATAACAATAATAGAATAACAGATTAACAGAATAACAATAACAGAATGACTGAATAATAGGACAGAATAATACAATAAGAATAACAGAATAGCAATAACAAAATAAAAGAATAACAATAACAGAATGACAGAATACAGAATAACAATATAATGACTAATAGAATAACAGATTAACAGAATAACAGAATGACAGATAACAGAATAACAGAATAATATAACAACAACAACAGAATGACAATGTCGGAATAACAATAATAGAAGAACAGATTAACAGAATGACAATAGCAGAATGACAACAACAGAATACAGAATAACAATATCAGAATAACAATAGAATAACAGATTAACAGAATAACAATAACAGAATGACAGAATAATAGTATGACAGAATAATACAATAAGAATAACAGAATAATAGAATAACAATAACAAAATAAAAGAATAACAATGGCAGAATGACAGAATACAGAATAACAATATCAGAATAACAATAATAGAATAACAGATTAAGAGAAATAACAATAACAGAATGACAGAATAATAGTATGACAGAATAATACAATACGAATAACAGAATAATAGAATAACAATAACAAAATAAAAGAATAACAATGACAGAATAACAGAATACAGAATAACAATGTCAGAGTAACAATAATAGAATAACAGAATAACAGAATAACAATAACAGAATGACTGAATAATAGTAGGACAGAATAATACAATAAGAATAACAAAATAATAGAACAACAATAACAAAATAAAAGAATAACAACAGAATGACAGAATACAGAATAACAATATCAGAATAACAGTAATAGAATAACAGATTGACAAAATGACAGATAAGAGAATAATAACAGAATGACAATGTCGGAATAACAATAATAGAAGAACAGAATAACAATAGCAGAATGACAGAACAACAGATTACAGAATAACAATATCTGGGCAGCCATTCATCTGGAATGGCATAGGGCCTCCTGCCTGAGCAGGGGGTTGGACTAGAAGACCTCCAAGGTCCCTTCCAAGCCCATTATTCTGGAAACCAACCCCACATTCTTGCTGAAGGAGGCCTCCCTGGTTGCCACTATCTAGTGTCAGGCTTGGGGCTCCTCAGACACTTGAGATCATGAGGGATGGATGGACATAGGTCTGGAGAGGAGCCCCCACACACACCTGCAGACCCCTTCCGGGTCCAGATGTGTCCCTTCTCTACTCTTGTGATGACCTTCTTCTCTCCTGCAGGAAGTAATGGGGGAGAGACCTCTCCAGATGAACTTGTCCACCCACGGCCGAGGCTGGCCCAGGAAGCTTTGCCGACCGAGGCTGGCCCAGGACCTTCCAGGTGGGATCGTGCTGTCACCAGGCTCATGGCACTGCAGCAGGAGCAGCTGGAGGAGCTGAGATGGACCATCGAGAAGTTAGCAGAAGCCACCAGCAGAAGGGTGAGGAACCAAGATGCTTCATTCACGCCGATCAAGAGTTTTAAGTGCCCTGTCCAAGCAAACTCATGCAAGCAACTTTTCTGCTAAGATCACTTTAGTTGCAGGGATGGACGATTGTCTCATCCTGCAAAGTTTTTTGGGGGGATCAGGTCAGCTTCTTCCCCAAGCCAAGAGCAATCATGTGGTTATTTGCAAAAATAAATAAAGGCGGGGTGCAAATAGATAAATAAGTATGCAGGAAGTTTTTCAGACAGATGTCTAATTGATTAGACCTTGACATTTTTAACTGCTATACTGCAGTTTTTTTACAATCTCTTTTGCCTTGCAGCCCCCCAACTAGGGGCGTTAAGCAGGCTCAAGTCGCAACTGCGAAACATTACAAATCCAAATTTCTTTTTCTGACAAAGAATTAAAAAATTAAATTGGGAGACTAAGATGGCCATTTCGAGCTCATTCTGCTCTCTTCAGTTAGCCACACCCTTTATGGGATTCGAACCTGGGCAGTTTACATACGAGGCAATGATTTAACCACCAAGCCGTCTGAAAAACTTCCTGCATATACTCCCTTGACTCAGCTGGCAAAGAGGGAGGAGAGCCTGTGGCTTGGTGGTTAAATCACTGCCTCGTATGTAAACTGCCCAGGTTCGAATCCCATAAAGGGTGTGGCTAACTGAAGAGAGCAGAATGAGCTCAAAATGGCCATCTTAGTCTCCCAATTTAATTCTTTAATTCTTTGTCAGAAAAAGAAATTTGGATAAATAAGTATCTATATAAGGGGTCTCTGTCTGCCCCAGTTGTGTCTCTTGATGGGGAGTCCTTGGTGCTCTCTGAGCTTGTGGGTTTTTCTTGAAGACGTTTCCTGACCCTATTAGGGAACATCATCAGTGTTAGAAGGAAGTGGGGTTTTCAGGGAGGAAAGGGAGGGGGGAGGAGGAGGAGGGGGGGAGGAGGAGGAGGAAGAGGATGGTTGCAGAGTCATTGGTGCTCTTTGAGCTAGGCTGTTTTCTTTTTTTTTTTATTAAAAAGTTTTATAAAAATTACAATATAACCCACACAAACCCCCCCCCCCAACTTCCCAGAGCTGAGTACAGGGTACAAATATGACAATCATAATCTAACTAACATTAACCAACTATATAAATAACCAAGTCCATAATGCACTTTAACTCCCCTTTAACATAAATATAAACAAATTAAAAATAAACATAATAATAACGAAAACATAAACAAATTAATGTCCTAATTATTAAACAATACAATCTCGAAATTGTTAAACAATACTAATACTAAAAATAATAATAATATCATAATAATACTCTAAAATTCACTCATATGCTAAATGAAACTTTTTAGTCCCATATTTATTCTGAATATAATTTATCCATCTTCTCCAAACCGAAATATATCTTTCTTGTGAGTGATCCTTGCCTACTATAGAAGAATGGATGCTTAAAGTGTCAAATTTAGCAGAAATGGCTAAGATTTGAGCTAGGCTGTTTTCTTGCAGACGTTTCATGACCCAACTAGGGAACATCATCGGTGCTAGAAGGTAGTGGGGTTTTTTGAAGAGGAGGAGGAGGAGGAGGAGGGGGGGGGAGGAGGAGAATTGTGGGGTCCTTGGTGCTCACTGAGCTGAGTGGTTTTCTTGTAGACGTTTCCTTACCCTACTAGGGAATATCATCAGTGTCCCATAGAAATTGCTCCATAGAAAAGGAAAATGGGATGTATTTATTGATTCAATTTCCATAGCTGCCCAACTTAACCAAGGAACTCTGGGCAGCTCGCAATTCCAAAATTATAAAGCAATTCAAACGCTTCATGAAAGCATAATAAAAACAATAAGAACATCCACAAAATAAATAAGTCTATTTAAGAATCTGTGTGTTTGTTTTGCAGGACGCTTTGGTGATGGATCGAAACATCTTTTCTCCTCCCATGGAGGCCCCAGACCCCAACGCCTTCTCAATGAAATCCATGCTGCAGAGGGAGTTTTCAGAGACTGCCCGAGAAGTGAACAAGAGTGAAGTCAAGAAGCAGTTCTGGACCACCTTGGGAAATTTTCCAGTCCAGGAGAAAGTGGAGTCACAGCTGGAAGGCCCAGGACTCTCTCCACAGAGCTGGTTAGAAGAACCTGGTCTTCAACAAAGGACAAATGCCAGAGGAGAAGACCTCAGGCTCCAAGATTCTGTACAGATGGATGCTAATGTATTTCAGGCTGAGAGACAACCAGAGCAGAAGTCATGTTGGCTTCAGGGACCGTCAACATCACATCAAGTTCTCAAGGGTTTCCAGGAAGAGCCAAATGTTCAAGAGGTGAAGGATTTGCAGTCTACTGGTGCCCAGGAAAAGAAACATCTGGAAACCCTATCTAGGAAGGGAGAAGGTAACCAGAAGCTGGTTAGTCCTGGACATCTTGAATTCTCCCCAAAGCAAAATGAACACCAGAGCGATCCAGAAGTTCTCAGTCTCCCAAAGGAAGTATCTCATGAACCTCAAAAAATTCCAGAGCTCTCAGACAAGAAGGAATGTGAAGCTACCAGTAAAGGAGAAATTGATGGTCTTCAGACCACATCTAAGCAACAGGAGATTCTCGATTGCACAGGATCTTTGTGGAAGAAAGAAAAGATTTCTCAACCTTGGAAACCATGTGGACACCAAGGAGTGAATGATCTAGAGATCTCCCAGGCTTTACTAACTCCTGACATGGACCAGACTCTTCCTGAGAAAAGGGAATGTAATATTCAGGAAGGAAGTTCTCAAGAAGGTCCATTCCATGGACTGAATGTAAACAACTTGCATCCTCAGAGAGAGATACTAAAGAGATCAAAGTCTTTGGGGTGCTTAGAAGTAATACAGAAGAATCTGTTCTTCCAAGCATCAAGAGACTCGGAAAGATCCCTCCAACTATTATCAGAGAAGCCGCAGAGAGCTCCTTCCCCCAAAACACAGATGGAAAATGTACATTCTCAACAAAGTAGCCTCCAGAATGTTCTACAGAGTAAAACAGACGTTATTCAAACAGATACTAAGATGAAAGTGATAACCTCGAAACCTCACGTTTCTCTTCAAGGGAAGCAAGAACCTCAAAAAGAGATGGACTCACAAGATGGCCGGGATGAAAAAACTTTCCACACCCAAGGCACGCAAATGCCTCCGCTCCAGGACTGGGAGGAACTTGACCCGATCAGCAATCTCCATGGAGGATCACCAACTCTTCATATTGGAGAAATGAAGAGATCTTCTGAAGATGTGTGTCATCAGGAACAGAAGGTCCTGCTAGAATTCAGTCATTGTCAGGGGTCTCCTCTCAAAAAATCAAACTCGCCTGAACCTCAAGAGCTATTGCAGACGAGGGCCAATGAATCTAAGAGTTCATTAGAGATTTCACTAGATAATAGATATCCTCAAGACCCTCAACATCAGGAATGGGAAAAGATGAAAACTCAGGACATCTCAGAAAGAGAAGTTTTGAAGTTACCCGATTCGGTAGAGGTTCTCCAGCACCCAAGCATTCCAAAATGTCAAGAAGAAGTTCTTCAGATACCAGGACCATTGTCCAGAATGTCCGAGACATCTACGGTGGAAGAGAAGTTGGATTTTCAGAAGCAAGAAGTTCCATCAAAGGAGGTACGATTGTCCCGCCCTCAAGCACAAAATCAGATGGACACAGACCCTGTACTTGCTCAGAAGCTTCAGACAGGTCTGAGCAGATCAGAGTTCCAAATTGGTTTGGCAAGGAACACAAAGTCTCTACAGTTGGAAGAGAGCTCAAGAGTGCAAGATGTGGGTCAATCGGAAGAGCTTCATAGCTCAGGAGCGACAGAAGGAATCGGTAGAGAAATTCTCCGGTCCCAGAAAGCTCAACTGGAATGGCCAGTTCTTACCTTGAGAGAATCCCTGGCACTTCAGCCCCAGAAGTTGGCTTCAGAAAGGCAAGAAGGCCTTTCCGTGTCCCAGGATTTCAGAAGTTCGGAAAGTCCACCTCTTCTGTGGAGCGTCTTGTGGCAGAAGGCAAAGTCGTTTGAACAAGCGAAGCCATGTCTTCTTCTAGGCCCCCAGCTAGGACAAGCTGCAATCCAGAGAACGACTACGAAGGAACTGCCCATCCTTCGACTCCCCCAGGAAATGAAGGCAGTGTTGCTGGTTCAACGGGAGGAAGGATCGCTGGTGGAAATGGAGCACCAGAAACTCCAGAAGTCCAACATCCTTTCTCTCCAGGATGTGAATTACCAGGAAGTGATGCTGCAGACCCAAACAGAAAAAGTTGTCCTAGTAGAGAAATGCACACAAACTGATTCTCAGGAGTTTCAGCATCGGGGAGAGACAACATCAGAGGTTCTTCTGGAAATGACAGTAGGACAAGTAAACCTTGGCGAGATACGTCCAGGAGAAACAGGGGAACTGGAGACTCCTTCATCCCATGAAGCTCCACAGAGCAGACTACAAAAACTTCAGGGAGAAAAGATTTCACAGAGGGAGTTAGAATTGCTGAAGCATTCAGGATCCTTCCTACAGGAAGACCTGACTGGCACACAGCCCCCCACCAAAGAAAGTCTGGGAGAAGTCCAGATTCAAGAAGAGGTGTTGCAAAAAGAGAGATTTGTCCCTCAACACCAGGAACACAGAAGTCTAGACTCTCCTCCTCTTCTGTGGGGAGTTGTGGGTCTGAAGTCAAAATCTTTTGAGTTGAGGACATCATGTGACAGAGAAGCTCAGGAGCTGAAGGAATCACCAGGGTGGAGAAGATCCAATGTGGAACGGGAATCTTCTACACAACAAACATGTAGAGATCTAGATGTCATTCCTCCTCAGGACCTCCAAGAAGTTGGGTCTCCTTCAGTTGAATCCAAGAGGGGAACCTTTCAGACTGGGAGAATCCTGCCCAGATATTCTCAATTGTCACAGTCCCCCCAAATAAACAATTCAGAAATTCCTCAATCTCAAGAAGCTGGGCCCAGGACGATCGTCTCTCCTTTCCTGAGTGATAGAGAAGCATTAATGGACCAAGAAATAAGAGAGATGGGATCATCTCAAACCTGGATAACTTCGCAAGAAAAGCCAGACTCTTCTGAAACGCTGAAACAAGTTGTGGAACTGATAAAGAATCCAGAACTGGCCACTCAAGAACTGGAAGATCAACGCAACTCTTTGCCTTCCAAAACAAAGTCTCTGGAAACACTTCTTCATCCTGAGAAAAGTAGAAGCTTTGAACCTTCCCCTGTGTTGGGAAGGGCCTCAGAAATAAAGGCAAAATCGCTTGAGCTGCTCAAGTCACAGGCTTTACGCATGAGCTGCTCAGAGGCCACCCCATCAAGATCTCAGCAGGATCTCCAGGCTTGTCACGTAGAGGAGGGGTCACAATTAGAGATGGTCCCACCATCAGAAAGGCTACAAATGGAACAAGAATTCCAAGAAATCCAAAATTATGGAATTCCACAGGTGTATCTCCCAAGGGATCTAGGGGAGCAGGCGATCACTCAAATCCAGGTGGGAAAGTCTGTTTATACCCAGATTCTGGATTCCATTCCAATGCCGCATCTGCTGGGGGAGTCAAAGGAAGTTCAGACGCTGGAGCTTCAAGAGCTCAGAAATCTAGAACCTCCACAAGCCCAGAGTGACAAAATTCTAGAAGAACTGGAGAAACCAGAAAACGTGAGACCACATGGAAAGAACATCGGTGCCTTAACATCTCAGCCTGGTCCAGAAGGAAAAGCAGAGTGCCTTCAGCATGCAAAACGTAGTAGCCCAGAGACACCGCCTCTTCTGTGGTGGGTTTTGGAGTTAGCTCATCACAGAATATTACATAATGTTTCTCCTCAACCTCAGGAGTCCAGTTCTTACGTACCAGGGATGCAAAGACAAGAAGGGCCACAGACAGAGTCAGAGGCACAACACCCAAGGAATCAAACTGTGCCTTTGGCTAAGAAACTGCAGAAACTAGAGGCTCCTCAACCACAGAAGGCGTTCTTCCAAGTCGAAGGAAGTAGGAAAACAGATGGCCATCTTCAGTCCCAGGAATGCATAGATCCAGAACCTTCCCAGCCTCATGAAATTGTCCCTCAAGTAGAGTCCATTAGTCCTGCACTTTCTGTCTCAGATGCATTTCAGTTTCTGACTCAGGAGAAAGCAAAATCAAGTCAAGGTCCCGAAAGAAGTCCTCAGGACTTTGAGGTCCATCTGCTGAAGGAGAGGGAGCTTGTCACACTTGAGGAATCTTCAAAAGGAGATGTTCATGGTAGAGAAGGATCCCCAGTGATGCAAAAGCATCTTATTCCCAGGAAGCCCAAGGATTTGGAGTGCCTGGTACAAGAAGATCGGTCCAAGCTAGGTGATTCATGCAAAGGGATTCACTCACATGTCCATCAAGCTCCGATTACCCTTGGGAACCTGGACTCCCTAGACCCCTCATCCCCATCCGTACAACTCCAGAGGTTGAAAACAGATGCAGAACATTGTGGCCTTCTGAATGGATCCCAGGTTCTTCACTCAAAGGAACCAGCAAATGGTGAGACATTGAAAGGAGTCAAGCAGGAGGACTCTCCCATTCTTGAAGCTTCTGAGGAGCACAGCAAGATCAAAGTTGTCCTGTCCTTAGAAAAACCACTGGAGAAATCAAAGTCTTTTGACTTGGGCGAGCTTCAAATTTTGAAGATTCAAGAACCCCCAAAGAAAGAATCTTTTCAAAGTCCAACAACCGAAGTCTTGAAGGTTCAGGAAGACCTCCCAGAGAAACACCAGAAAGAGATAGATTCCCTAACCATTTCATCTCAAGAAAAGAGTCAACAAGTCACCCCACAACTACTACAATCTTATGAATCAGCTTCTGAGAGTCCTTCCCTCCAGAGTTCATCGACGCAAACATTAGAACTTCCTGAGATGGACCCATATTCCTTGCAGGCCCAGGAACTCGGAGAAACACTTATGCTTCAGCCCCAGAGGTCCAAACTCCAAAAGACCATGAACTCCAAGACACTTTGCCTCCAAGGACACCATGAAGCAGAGAACTGTGAACTTGGGGTAGAAGATAGTCACCTTGAAATGCGAGGAATCCTCCAAAGATCGCCTCAGTCTTTCCTTATCCAAGATATCTTTTACCCTCTGGCAGATATGTTCAGGAAATCGAAATCTTTAGAACTGCCCAAAGCAAACGTTGTCCTCCTTCAGGGGTTGAGAAGACCAGACATTGCCCAATCTCAAGAAAATGTGAAGGAATGTCCTCAAATCCTTGACAGCCAAACATCGTCACAGGGGATGAATACGTCTTTGCAGGAGAAAGAGGGCAGATGTTCTACACAAAAGGAACTGAAGGAGTCACAATCTCAGGAAAAACTTGGCCAAAATAAGCCAGCGACCATAAATCCTGAGGATGATCAGGTCCAGCAGCTCCAAAGAAAGGAAGGAACGGAAGTTCTTCATTCCCCAGGAATTCCACAGAGGATGGAGCCTATTTCTCTGCAGATGCAAGGGAATCTACAAAACAACCCAGAGTATTTTGGATGCAGAGGTTTAAGCCATCCAGATGTTCTTCAAACTGACAAACACTCAGTGATATCAGAAACTATTGAACTTGAAAAACAAGTGGAATCCATAACTCAAGTGTCCTTAATGTCTACAGAGAAAGGAGCTCTGTCAGTCTGGTGGACCCTGGGAAAATCAAAGTCTCTTGACCTTAGAGAACTCCAAGCCTGCTCTTCACAGTCACTCCTGGGAGAGTTGGATTGTTCTAACCCCCGGGAGATGCCTTCAGCCAATCTGTCTCAACCACAAAGAGATCTCCAGGATGAACAATGGAAATGTAGGACTCCGTTGGATTACTCCAAAACTCAACCACTTGAGGACCTTATTTCAAAAGATAAGATTGTCCAACAGGAAGAAAATCCTTGTGCCAGCCAGAAAACCGAGCACGTGGAGTTGGAAACTCAAAACTCCGAAGAGCTACTGAAGCTTGAGACAGAAATCATGACTTTCCAGAAAATGGAGGATATCCAGATGTTCTGCTCTAAGAAATACAGAGAATTGGAAGCTCCTCAACTTCAGGTTATTATTTCCCAGAGTTTGAAGGAGCCTCTTTGTACCGATCAGCATGTGCAGACAGAATCCAGATCTCCAGGACTAAGAAATTTACAAAGTCCTCCTCTTCTGAGGAACCTGCTGAGGAAGTCCAAGACATTTGGATATGAGGAACAAATAAGTAGACTTGCTCCTCAGATCCAGGATGTTCAAAAGGAAGAGGACAGCTTGCATGTAGAGAGGAGATCTGAGGAATCAACGCCACAAAAAATCCAGGAGATGAGTAAGCCTGAGATTCTTCAACATCAGGAGATAGAAAATGTTGAAAGCATTGGGGAATCTACAGGACAGCCCAACTGCCCAAGGGAGACTCAGAAAATGGAGATGGACTCCACAAAATCCCAGATCTCTCTACAAACAAACCAGGAACCTCTTCAGGAACAAAGAGATGCGCTCAACATAGTTCCACAGGACAATATACCCAAGATTGTTCCGCCTTGTGACATTCCACAGTTTGGTATTAAATTTCTTCAGGAATTAGGGAGATTGCATAATGAATTAAATACCCTCAGACCACCACAGGAACTGAAAGATGGCAAGGCCATTTGTCCCCATGCTGCTAAAGGTTCCAGTCAATCACAGCAGCAAATACTAGCTGAACCCCAAATAAATATAGGTTCTCAAGTTCTCGAGCATCAGAAATGGAGTGCAGCAACATCTCCGCAGCCGCCACCACCGGGAGACTTCTCGGAAGCTTCTAAGATGCAACAGCAGTCTCTTCAGTCTCCCCAAAGCCAAGGACTTGACCAGATACTGGGAGTAAAAAGGGAGTCAGCAAGAAACATGGAGTCACCAATGCAGAAGGCACCATCGATGGTCCAACGGCAAGAAGACTTGTCAACAAAATCAGTTGTGGTGCCAGTGGCGACAGATCCTCCTTTTCTTCAGTCTCTGGAAAAAAGGGAAGCGAAGACTTTGGACCTTCAGGAGTCCCTTAATCTTGAAGGGAAAGTGAGAGAGAAACAACCAATGGTTACAGAGCCTCAAGAGGACCACCTCTCAAATAAGCAAGAACCCGTAATGACAAAATCCAAATCTCTTGACCCTCAATCATTATCAAGGACTCCGGCGTTCCAGCATGAGAGAGCAAAAACAGTGGAAGGTCTACCTTCCTTGGATAAAGAGAGGGCCACTGAACATAGACCTATTTCCCGAGGACCATTAAACATCCAAGCAGAAGCCACTTCTTCCCAGAGCCAGGAATTTCCCACAAAACAGGAAAAATTACCTCAGGATCAGAAGGCAGAAATGACCCAGCAAGTAGACCAACATTTTCATGAGCAGCATGGGATGTTGAAGCTCCAAGAAGGAAGGAACCTAAAATCATGGAAGGACCAAGAACTGGGGCCTCTTCAGCTTCAAGGGATGGAGGAGAACCAACTTTTTCAGGAATGGAGGGAGGCAGGAACTTTGCCGGCTGAAGGAACTCAACCAAGGCAACTCTTGACTTGTGAGAAGGGCCTGCTGAACTTGGCAGGCCTTGAGCGTGAAGATGAGAACAAAAGACTGGAAGGACTCTGGGAGCAGAAGACCACAGAGACCAGAGCTATGACTTTGCTCTCTCCCTCCAGCTCTGGAAAGTCCATCGAGATGATGTGGGAGCCTAGCTCGTTCAACATGGGCATTTCCAGAGAGACCTCTTTCGACGTGGCCCATCCTCCTTCACCATCTTGGGTAAGATCTATCATTTAGCCGAGATGTATTAAACCAGGACAGAGGTGGGGATAACTCTATTTCAGCTTTAAATTTTAATGTTAAAGAATGAAGGTGGCCCACGGTGGTAAACTGGAGATGAGGACCGAGAAGTTTACAAACATCTCTGTCCATAGGTTGCCCGGAAGCTTCTCTATAATATAACAGCAGGTATTTCTTCTCTGTAGATTGATCGTGGACACCTGTAGTGTAAACATGAATCAAAGAGCCCCCACCCATCCCACCCCCTTGCTGCTGCCATTGTTAATAATAATAATAATAATAATAATAATAATCAAACATCCACATCTGCCTATCCCAGGTCCTGGGTAAGGACTCGATAGATAGACAAAATGCCAAATCCAGTCTGAACATCTGGCTGACTGTGCGATGATCCATAATAATAATAATAATAATAATAATAATAATAATAATAATAATAATAATAATAATAACAAGGAGGAGAAATTGAAAAGTGGATAACAACTGGGAAAACCTACCTAATAATGAAAAATCCAGCAAAAGGGGCAACACCAGGTAACTAATTTCAATCCAATCAGAAACGTTTCTACCAATCCATCAATGGAGAAACTGCAAGGAATCAGTCAGTACCTGACAAGGAAGAAACAGTGCAATTCTGGAAGCAGATATGGGATAACCCAAAGAAATACAACAAGGATGCAGCTTGGTTAAAAGAGGTGGATGCAAATAAAACAGAAGTTGAAATGAAAGAACTAGTAATAACAACAAAAATGGTAGAAAAAAGAGCAAAGAAAATCAAAAATTGGTCAGCACCAGGTGAAGATGAACTGCATGGGTTTTGGTTGAAACATCTAACTGTTATACACCCACTCATTGCCAAGCAATTCAACAATATACTACAAGGAGGAGAAATTGAAAAGTGGCTAACAACTGGGAAAACCTACCTAATAATGAAAAATCCAGCAAGAGAGTGAAGAAGATCTTAAAATCCAAACTCAATGGAGGAAATACCATAAAGGCAATCAACACCTGGGCAATCCCAGTCATCAGGTACACAGCTGGAATAGTGGACTGGACTCAAGCAGAACTAAAAGCAATGGATAGGCAGACCAGAAAAATAATGACAATGAATCATGCCCTTCATCCACGCAGTGACATTGATAGACTTTATCTACCAAGGCAAATAGGTGGGCGTGGAATGCTACAAGTACATCAGATGGTTGAAGAAGAAAAAATGGCTTTGGAAGAATATCTGAAGAACAATGATGAAGATGCACTGAAATTAGTATATCAGGAAGGCTTACTGACTACTGGAGAGACCAAACTGGCCTACAAGAAAGACCAAATGAAGAACAGAATAGAGGCATGGGAAGACAAAGCACTACATGGCCAATACATGAAAAAAATAGCTGGGAAAGCAGATAATAATAAGACCTGGCAATGGCTAAGAGCAGGAAAATTGAAGAAAGAGACCGAGGGACTAATTCTGGCTGCACAAGACCAAGCCTTAAGGACAAATGCATACAAAGTCAAAATTGAGAAGACAGCAACAGACAGTAAGTGCCGCCTATGCAAAGAAGCTGAAGAAACAGTGGACCACTTGGTAAGCTGTTGCAAGAAGATTGCACAGACTGATTACAAGCAGCGGCATGACAAAGTAGCAACAATGGTGCATTGGAAGATCTGCAAAAAATATCATTTGCCTGTAAGCAAAAACTGGTGGGATCATAAAATAGAGAAAGTCATAGAAAATGATAAAATTAAACTGCTCTGGGACTTCAGAATTCAAACAGACAAGCACCTGCAACATAACACCCCAGACTTAACAATTGTCGATAAGAAAGACAAAAAAGTCTGGATAGTGGACGTGGCAGTGCCTGGAGACAGCAGAATAGAAGAGAAAGAACTGGAGAAGATAACAAAATACAAAGACCTACAAATAGAAATAGAAAGACTGTGGCAAAAGCAAGCAAGGGTAGTACCAATAGTCATAGGCTCCTTGGGCGCAATCCCAAAACAACTGGAGCACCACTTGAACACCATTGGCATTGACAAATTTGCTATTAGTCAATTGCAAAAGGCGGCCTTATTAGGAACTGCTTCCATCCTGCGACGATACCTGTAATACTATCAAACATCCACATCTGCCTATCCCAGGTCCTGGGTAAGGACTCGATAGGTAGACAAAATGCCAAATCCAGGCTGAACATCTGGCTGACTGTGCGATGAATGATAATAATAATAATAACAAGGAGGAGAAATTGAAAAGTGGATAACAACTGGGAAAACCTACCTAATAATGAAAAATCCAGCAAAAGGGGCAACACCAGGTAACTACAGGCCAATTACCTGCTTACCAACAACTTTCAAATTACTAACTGGTGTAGTAGCTGATGCAGTGCAACAGCATCTAGTTGAAAACAATCTCTTTCCACCTGAGCAGAAAGGAAACCGCCCCAATAGCAGAGGAACAAAAGATCAACTCCTAATAGACAAAATGATCTTGGAAAACTGCAAGAGAAGGAAGACCAACCTGAATGTGGCATGGATTGACTACAAAAAGGCATTTGACTCTCTGCCACATGACTGGATAATAAAGTGCCTAGAAATAACAGGAGTCAGTAGAAACATCAGAAAATTTGTGCAAAGATCGATGGCACAATGGAAGACACAGTTGCAGATCAATGGTGAGAAGCTGGGAGAGGTTAATATCAAGAGAGGAATATTTCAAGGAGATTCATTATCACCATTACTATTGTTATTGCACTGTTTCCTCTGTCAACAATACTGAATAACTCAGGACATGGCTATCAAACATCAAAAACATCTGCCAGACTATCCCACCTCCTTTATATGGATGATCTGAAGCTGTATGGAAAAACATCATCTGAAATAGAATCGCTGCTCAACACTGTCCGTATATATAGCCAAGATATTGTAATGGAGTTTGGCTTGGACAAATGTGCCACACTTACTATCAAACAAGGAAAAATAGTGAAAACTGAAGGAATCAAGATGCCCCACGAAAATAACATTAAGAGTCTGGACGAGGAAGAGTACTACAAATACTTGGGTATCCTTCAAGCTGACAACATCAAGCACACTGAAGTCAAGAAAAAGATTAGAAGTGAATACATCAAGAGAGTGAAGAAGATCTTAAAATCCAAACTCAATGGAGGAAATACCATAAAGGCAATCAACACCTGGGCAATCCCAGTCATTAGGTACACAGCTGGAATAGTGGACTGGACTCAAGCAGAACTAAAAGCAATGGATAGGCAGACCAGAAAAATAATGACAATGAATCATGCCCTTCATCCACGCAGTGACATTGATAGACTTTATCTACCAAGGCAAATAGGTGGGCGTGGAATGCTACAAGTACATCAGATGGTTGAAGAAGAAAAAATGACTATGGAAGAATATCTGAAGAACAATGATGAAGATGCACTGAAATTAGTATATCAGGAAGGCTTACTAACTACTGGAGAGACCAAACTGGCCTACAAGAAAGACCAAATGAAGAACAGAATAGAGGCATGGGAAGACAAAGCACTACATGGCCAATACATGAAAAAAATAGCTGGGAAAGCAGATAATAATAAAACCTGGCAATGGCTAAGAGCAGGAAAATTGAAGAAAGAGACCGAGGGACTAATTCTGGCTGCACAAGACCAAGCCTTAAGGACAAATGCATACAAAGTCAAAATTGAGAAGACAGCAACAGACAGTAAGTGCCGCCTATGCAAAGAAGCTGAAGAAACAGTGGACCACTTGGTAAGCTGTTGCAAGAAGATTGCACAGACTGATTACAAGCAGCGGCATGACAAAGTAGCAACAATGGTGCATTGGAAGATCTGCAAAAAATATCATTTGCCTGTAAGCAAAAACTGGTGGGATCATAAAATAGAGAAAGTCATAGAAAATGATAAAATTAAACTGCTCTGGGACTTCAGAATTCAAACAGACAAGCACCTGCAACATAACACCCCAGACTTAACAATTGTCGATAAGAAAGACAAAAAAGTCTGGATAGTGGACGTGGCAGTGCCTGGAGATAGCAGAATAGAAGAGAAAGAACTGGAGAAGATAACAAAATACAAAGACCTACAAATAGAAATAGAAAGACTGTGGCAAAAGCAAGCAAGGGTAGTACCAATAGTATAGGCTCCTTGGGTGCAATCCCAAAACAACTGGAGCACCACTTGAACACCATTGGCATTGAGAAATTCGCTATTAGTCAATTGCAAAAGGCGGCCTTGTTAGGAACTGCTTCCATCCTGCGACGATACCTGTAATACTATCAAACATCCACATCTGCCTATCCCAGGTCCTGGGTAAGGACTCGATAGGTAGACAAAATGCCAAATCCAGTCTGAACATCTGGCCGACTGTGCGATGAATGATAATAATAATAATAAACAAGGAGGACGAAAATTGAAAAAGTGGTAACCAAACTGGAAAACCTACTAATAATGAAAAATCCAGCAAAAGGGGCAACACCAGGAACTACAGGCCAATTAACTGCTTACCAACAACTTTCAAATTACTAACTGGTTTGGTAGCTGATGCAGTGCAACAGCATCTAGTTGAAAACAATCTCTTTCCACCTGAGCAGAAAGGAAACCGCCCCAATAGCAGAGGAACAAAAGATCAACTCCTAATAGACAAAATGATCTTGGAAAACTGCAAGAGAAGAAGACCAACCTGAATGTGGCATGGATTGACCACAAAAAGGCATTTGACTCTCTGCCACATGATTGGATAATAAAGTGCCTAGAAATAACAGGAGTCAGTAGAAACATCAGAAAATTTGTGCAAAGATCGATGGCACAATGGAAGACACAGTTGCAGATCAATGGTGAGAAACTGGGAGAGGTTAATATCAAGAGAGGAATATTTCAAGGAGATTCATTATCACCATTACTATTTGTTATTGCATTGTTTCCTCTGTCAACAATACTGAATAACTCAGGACATGGCTATCAACATCAAAAACA